AAGTCTCTGTGTGTCTAAAGCATTGACCTGCCCAAGAATATCGAGTAAGAAATGGAGAAAACAAACAATTCTAAAAAACAAAACGGGAGATGCAGGTTATAGTGGCTTACTTTGCGTGCTTTGACTGGGACCATTGGTGCTCCACTTAGTACACTTGAATCGTATCTGCCACATAATCTCGTAGAAGCACCAATTCCTATAGATAACCGAGAACAGTTTTATAAAACAAGAAAAGAAAATACCCTACAATACCAATTACCAAAAATAAATTTCTGAATCTATGGAAACTTTTGCATGTAAAAGGAATGCGAGGACTTACAAGGTCGCAGTCACTGTTGATACCTTAGCTTTCAACGGGAGCTGCAAATAATGTGCTTGTTGTGGCACGATCGACATTGCTTTTGAAGCACTCATTAAGCCGTGCTAGTCCAAAATCAACATCCCACGTTAGAATCTTTCCTTGCAATAGCCAAACCTTGATTATTGATTAGGGGTTGCATATCTCCTTTCCAAGATAAGTAGATCCAAGTGGGGAAGGAAAGGAAATACCGGTGTTGATGTCATACGGGTCTTCACCCGTAACTTATTCTTGAACTAGGGCTATCAACGGGTCGGGTCTTCCTAGCACATCCTCGTAGACCGAAACATTAATAACGGTTCTGGTTCATTAAGTTTATCTGACTGTAGAATCGAGCCGGTTGTTGCTCTCAACTGTCCCAAACCGATTCGGACCCAAAGTCATTCGCTTTATTATCTATATATGATATGTTGTTATTATTCTTTTCATTCTATCATATTATAAACTTAAAATTTTAAATTTTATGTATAATACTAGTTAAAATTGTTTTTTCCTAACTTATCTCTAGTTTAATCTTTCTCCTTCAATTTTTATCAAGGTTATATTATTAAATTTTAAATTTTAAGTTGCTAGTTAAATAATACACTAATAGTTTTTAGAATAATCGGTTTTGTTTTTATTTGAAGTAAACTTTTATTATTCAAAAGCAGTTACGGGTCTATGGTTTTAGGCCGATTAACAACTRGTTTGGGAATTCTTCTTCCTAGACCTGAGCCGGACCATACCCATTGACCGCCCTACATTGAGTGGCCATCTGCTGGTCAAGCCACACCTTGAAACTTAAGAAAGAACCGTCGACCATGCATCCTGCACAAATAAAACAGAAGGGGTATCTGTTAAAAATGTGCAAAACAGAATGAACAGAAACCAACATCACCACATAAATCAACAGTTAATTACCTTGCCAAAATTAGAACAGACAAAAACACAGAAAATGGTGGCCATTGACTTCTTCCTTTCTGGCTGTATCGGCATTTTCACCCAATCAATTCTAGGAAAACNTTTTTATTAAGGTTATATTATAAACTTTTAAATTTTAAGTTCCTAGTTAAATAGAGCGCTAATAGTTTTTAGCATAATCGGTTTGGTTGTTATTTKAACTTAGCTTTTATTCTTCCAAGAACGGTTCTGGGTCTATGTTTGTGGGATGATTCACAACCGGTTTGGGAGTGCTTCTTCCTAAACCCGAGTCGGACCTAACCCATTGACGGACCTATGTTGAGATGCCATTTGCTGGTCGAGCCACACCTTGAAACTTCCAAAAGAACAATTGACCATGCATCCTGCTCGATGAAAACAAAAAGGGTATCCGTCAAAAATGTGGAGAACAGAATGAATAGAAACCAACGTCACTACATAAATCGACAGTTAGTTTCCTTGCCAAA